CAGCCTGGCCAAGATGGTGAAACCCTGCCTCAACTAAAAATACAAAAATTAACCAGGCATGGTGACGGGTGCCTGTAATCCTAGCTACTTAGGTGACTGAGGCAGGAGAATTGCATGAACCTGGGAGGCAGAAGTTGCAGTGAGCCGAGATCACGCCACTGCACTCCAGCCTGGGCGACAGAGCAAGACTCTGTCTCAGAAAAATAAACAAACAAATAAATAAATAGCCAGGTGTGGTGGCAAGCTCCTGTGGTCCCAGCTATTTGGGAGGCTGAGGTGGGAGGATCACTTGATCCTGGGGGTGTGGAGGTTGCAGTGAGCCATGAGAGCACCACTGTGCTCTAGCCTGGGAGACATAGTGAGATCCTGTCTCAAAAAAAAAAAAAAATCTATCTTTTGTTACAAGGGCTCTAGCTGAGAATTTAGAAGGGTAGCAAGAAAATTCATCTTTCCTCCCCTAAATATGCTACTGATAGAGAAAGGAGACAGCCAAATGCCATCCAGGTCATTATGTGCAGGGGGCTTGCCTAAACATGCCCATGGTGAAAAATTCCATCCCTTAACATATGTGTAGTAAGGGAAATAAATCAGTGTGGAGTGGCTCAGACTAGGGGCCCACGTGTGCACTGGGGGAATGGGGTGGAGCCACCAGGTATTCACACTTTATGCAGGGGAGGAGCTGGACCTCTTCAGCTCCGGTGTGGTGGCCTGGTATTCAATCTGTGGAGTGGGAGACTGTTGGCAGGACTGCCTCTTTGCTAAGGGCTTTCTTTTCACTTAATAAATTCTGACCCTTCAACGTGTCCATGTGCCTAATTTTTCCTGATTGGGAGACAAGAACCCAGATTTTAGCTGAACTAAAGAAAAATATCCTGCGTCACTACTTGGCCTGGAAGAACAATGGAATTACTCATTTGAGATGTGGGTTTGAAGAAAGTTATTTTTAGTATTCTGATAAGCAGTTAACATACTGCTGTCATGTTTCTCTCTTTGTGCCAGTCTCATGTAGTTTCCCAGCATAATCACAATTAAACTGATTATGTGATTTTTGTGTTACCATCCTTTCTAATTAGTTTTTTTTTGTTTTTTTGTTTTGTTTTTGTTTTTGTTTTTGAGACGGGATCTTGGTCTGTCACCTAAGCTGGAATGCATTGCCACGATCACAGCTCATTGCGGCCTCAACCTCTGGGGCTCAAGTGATCTACCCACCACCTCAGCCTCCTGAGCAGCTGGCACTATCAGCGGACACCACCATGACAGGCTAATTTTTTAAGCTTTTTGTAGAGACGGGTTTTGTGATGTTGCTCAAGCTGGTCTTGAACTCCTGGGCTAAGGCAATCCTCCTGTCTGGGCCTCCTGAAGCACTGGGATTACAGGCCACCACGTCTGGCCTCTAATTACTTTCATAATAAGTAAGCATCTCCCCTTCTCTTTTCTTTCTGAGACAGAGTCTCGCTCTGTTGCCCAGGCTGGAGTGCAATGGCACAATCTCGGCTCACTGCAACCTCCGCCTCCC